GAGGAGGACGAGGAGGAGGAGGAGGAAGAGGAGGAGGAGGAGGAGGAGGAAGAGGAGGAGGAGGAGGAGGAGGAAAAGGAGGAGGAGGAGGAAAAGGAGGAGGAGGAGGAAGAGGAGGAAAAAGGATTTTGCATGGCGCGCCGCGCCGCCAGCTCTGGCCCACCTCTCTGCGGCGCGACACGCCATCCCAAAGTTCCGGGGCCTCCAAGCGTCAACGTCCGAGCCTTTCCCAGCCTTGCGATGTTTCATTCTATTTGATCCTTGATCACCAGAAAGAATTTCGAGCACCAAGAAAGATACCGAAACTGGAGGGTTTTTACGTGTCGGGCCCTGGGAGGCGATACTCGTTCGACATTGTTTCGATACCTTTCTGGGGGCTCGAAATTATTTCTGGGATGTGGTCCTTAACGACGATGGGAACACATCATCCCAGCTCCCCGCCCCCGTGGAGCGGGGCGACACGCGATCCACCCGCAGGGCATAGAGTGTCGCTGGGGCCGCCACCGCGGAAAGCATTCGAATAGTACAAAAAGCTCCGCTCGGATTTCTTAGATCGGCGCTGGGCCCCCCTGGCGCGCTCCGCACGCCGTGGAGGGGGATGCCAGCACAAATTTAAGAAATCAGCGCAGAGTTCCGAAAGTTTATGCTTACAGACAACAAGTATAGTAAGGATGGGCAGTCTTCCCAAGGTTACCCTTGCATCTTTGCCTCCTCGGTCCATCCTTGGCCGCTTTCGTCGGCCGCGCCCCGCTCCAGAAGCTTCGACATAGGCGTCCAAGGACCTTGCATCCTTATCGCGCATCCTCATGCATCTACGGGCCGACTCTATGCATTTTGTTCCCCCCTTCCACATACGGCAGGTGCGTGTCGTGCCGACGCGGCGGCGACCCAGCCGCGGACGTTCCGGGTTGAGCGCCGCCGTTGGCCCAGCATCGGCAACGAGCTGGCGATCGGAAGGCCGCCGATCGCTCAAGGTTATCAACGATCCGCGCGGTGTCCGAGGCCAGCTCCCCGGACCCACGCGCGTTGTGAAAAAGCACGGCGGGAGTTTTTTTCACTATTTCTGGCCTCCGGGAGCCCTTACCGGGCCCCGGTCCCGTCAGAAAACGACGCAGGATGCAGAACCGGTCCCGGGGATGGGGTCCAGGCCTTGGAGGGTCGACGCTGTGAAACAATCACGGCGTCGGGGGTCAGGGCCCGAGGTCCTCACACGGCACGAACCTGCGCGCACACGCCAGCATGCACCACCACCGCCACGCCCCGCCTGATATACGTGCACGGCCTCCCGGCCTGCCCCGTCGAGGGCCGGCGTGCGCCAGAGAAGGCCCACGGCCCCGGGGCCGTGGGCCAAAAGGGAGGCTCGGCGGCGGTGGTGGTGGGCACCTGCCCTGCTGCGCCCCCAGGCCTGGCGGGGCGTGCCCTCCCACTTCAACACGGCGACCCTCGTGGACGCCGCCCTGTACGCCGTGAAGCTCGCTGGGGTCGGCGCCCTGGGCGCGGGCTGCCTGTCCTCCGAGGCCAGGGCGTCGTGCGCGCGCTTCCCGGTGCGCAAGGGGGCCGAGGTGCCCCCGGGTCTGGCGAGGCGGTGGGCGTGGACGCTTTCGGTGGACGGCACGCAGGAGTGACGCTTTTTGCTGGTGCGTGCCCGCTGCTGGGGCCCCCCGATCGACGAGCGCGGTGCGATGGCGGCGCCTTGCGCGCGCGGGTCTGGTCTGCTCCCCCCCCCCCCCCCCCCACCCCCACCCCCCCCACCCCCACACACCCACACCCACGGCTCCCCGTAGGCCGCGCACCAGACCCAGAGATCCGAAGTCGTGATTTTTTAAATGCGGGGCCCCTGGAAGTCTCGACCGATTCCCCAGGACCAGCTTTTCGTCCTGAATCGTTTTTTGCCAGCCCCGGGGCCTGGCGAGGACCCCCAGAAACGAAAATTAGCTCAAAACATCCGTCTTGATTTTTTCAATTCGTTTTCAATCTTCCTCCTCCTCCTCCTCCTCCTCCTCCTCCTCCTCCTCTCAAGCCACTTGGGCCCAAGTTTTTGGGCTCGCTTCTGGGCCTTTCAGCAGGCGCTTGAGATCTCGCCTTCCCCCGGGAAGGTAGCTAACGTGGAAGCATTCAGTCGAAGCCATGGCCCCGCCGCCGCGCAAGCCGCCAGGGACCCGCGGCCCTCCTCCTTGGCAGTCTGTTCACAACGCTATGTGGCGTTGCGGGAAATGCGGCTGCGGGAAAAACATGGGACGTTTCTGGTTCTGCAAGCAGTGTCACAGTTTGCGTGCCGAGGTCGACGTCTCCACGCCCAAGCCACCTGGCGGTGTATGGGCGAACGGTGCTGGTGCAGCGGGGCAGGCCCCACCATCGGCGCCTCCACCTCAGCCTCGCCCTGTGGGACCACAAGGAGGGGGAGGACAACCAGGAGCTGGTGCAGGCCAGGGCGTCATCCGCGACGCTGACCTCACGGATGACGAGATGCACCAGCTCATCTCACTCAACAGGAAGATGGGCAACCATGGACACGCCGCGGCGCTCCAGCAGCGCTTGGACAAAAGGAAGGCTGGCTCGGCACCTATACCGATTCAAGTGCAGGCGAATCAATCTGACCGAGCCAGGAAGGCCTTGGAAAAGAAACTGTCCAACGAGCTGGAGCAATTCGAGAAGTGGCAAACATGGTTGGCTGATAAGAAGAATTCTATTCACTCCCTTCGTCAACAGTTGGTCGAAGAGAATGACCGCTACAAGAAGCTCGTTGCGCAGCTGCAAGCAGAGGTTGCACCACCAAGCTCTCCACCTTCTTCGGCTTCTCTTTCGCTCCAGGACTTACTGGACGGGAAGCAGCTATTCGACGCCACCAGTGTGGAGTCGTTCTTCAACGTGGACCCTGAAGTCTACGAGCTTGGCGAAGAGGACCGCAAGCAAATGGCGGCTCGTGCAGAGGACCTCAGCAAGCGGCTTGTCGAGACCACCCAGAACCTCTTCGGGGCGGCGGCCAAGCAGCTCGAGGAGGCCAGGCAGCTGCACAAGTCGCACGTCTCGGGCCTGGCGAAGCGTCGCAAGGCCGAGGGAGCGGCGATGCCTGGTGGTGGTCATGTGGATGACGAAGCTCGTGCGGCGGGACCTTCTCCTGCCGTTCAACCTGAAGATCACTCCGGAGCTTCGGCCAGTGCTGGCGTTTCTGATTCTGACTCGGCCGCCCGCTCCTCTGCTTTGCTTGCCCGCGCCGAGACGGTGCTGGGAGCCGACTTTCAACCACCTGAGCAATCTTAGCCCCCCACCTCGACTGCCTAGGTCGAAGTGGGGGGGAGATTTGAAGTCACCTGAGGCGCCAAGTTTTTTGATACCTCCTGGTCCCTCGGATCCGTCGTTGGGGTGCGGCCCTGGTTTGGGCGCCCGTGGGCCTATGTCAGGACCCAGTTTTGGCCCGTCGTCTGGCCCCCCTGTCCCCGAGTCCGACCAGCTTGCCTTCAGATTCCAGACGTGTAATGCCACCTCCTGGGGGCCATGTAAAGAATGGCTCGCCCGCACATCGGCCCATGTCGTGGCCGTTCAAGAACACCACCTCTGTAGTGATGAGTCGTGTCGCTCGGCTTTAGATTGGTGCCTCAGACATGGCTGTAAAGGCCTCTTCTCGCCAGCCCGTCCTGGAGTCGGCGAAGGAAGCTCAGGTGGTGTCGCCTTAGTCTGCCGATCCTTCCTAGGCCTTCACGACCTCCCTCAGGGGTCGGAATTGGTCCCAAGTAGGGCCATTGCGGGTCTGGTTCATCTCCCTGGAGGGCTTGACCAGCCCATCCTGTTCGCCTCGGTGTACATGCATCACTCCGAGGGGCTGACGGACCGAAATCTTGACATCTTGGGGAAGGTTGGGTCGGCAGCAGAGGTGTATGCTAGTGAATGTTTGGTCGCGGCTGATTTCAACATGTCGCCCGACCTCGTCCAGGACAGCGGGTTCACTGAACGCCTCCATGGGAACCTGATCATCCCCCAGGGCGAGGGGACCTGCCTCACCACGGGGGGCATCAAAATGCTCGACTATTTCGTCGCGACGAGTGGGGTCTCGAAGGTTCTTCAGTCGGTCGACGTGGTTGCCACCTCGCAGCTCGCTCCTCACTCACCTGTCGAAATCGTTCTGTACCCTCGTGCTTGTAAGATGCAGGCTTTGGGATTTTACAAACCTCCTCCCATCCCTGCCCAGCGGCCTATCGGGCCCTCTAAACGGCCACCCCACTGGGGGCGGCTCCAGGGGCAGGCGAGTGCCCTTCTCGATTCTTTGGTCCCAGGGGAACCCGTCGGTCAGGCTACCCAAGAGTTGAGTAGGGTTCACGGGCGCTGGGCTCGTCTGGCGGAGCGTGAAATCGCTGATGCTGCACATATCACCCTCCCGTACTACGGGGCCAGGAGTAAGGGCCCCAAGTTAGTCTGGCAGCCTGTCTTCAAGAGCGGCTCTTCCAAGGGCCGCCACCCGCGTCTGTTCGCCATCCAGTGGTTGTCCCACACCTTTAGGCACTGGCACGTACTCCCTCGCAGTTCGCAGGCGTGTGGCCAGAAGAGCCAGATGCTGCTGGAGATTCCCTTTGAGTTCGCGAGCGATCTGGATAGGTATCAGGCGCTCGTCAAGTCCATTCACTCGTTCGTGTCGATCGTCGCGGCTCCAGGTGGTCGGCTCTGCGTGGAGGATGAAGCTCATCAGGAGCACCTGTCGCACATCCTTGGCGAGCTGGATGCCTCCATAGTCCACGAGCAGTCGGATGCCAGGACTCAGGGAGGGAAAAGTTGGAAGGAATGGCTGTTGACCAACATTGAAAAGGGAGGAAGGAACGCTCACCTCGCTCGCAAGCCTGCTGCGGGCTGGAAGCCTACCACGACCCTCAGCTCGGCTGGGGTTGTGCTCTCTGACCCTCTTTCTCTGCTGGAGTCTCAGTCTTCGCTCTATGCTGAATTATGGGGTGCCAAGTCGACGGGGGCCCCCGCGCTCGATGAAGGTTCGAAAGGTATTTGTAGCCCCCTCCCTTTCTTGCAACCCGAATTTCTCTGGATGATCTCCTCCAGGTACTCCCCCAGGACTGCTTCTGGGCTCGACGGTTTCCACATGAAACACTACTCCTGGATGACCGACGATTGCTTGTACGTCGTGGGCCTAATGCTGGCCATCATGGAAATGACCTCCTCACTCCCCTTCCAGATCCAGCTGGTTCAGCTGGCGCTCATCATGAAGCCGCACGGCGGCTGGAGGCCGATTGGCCTGTTCTGCAGCATGTACAGATTGTGGGGGAAAGCGAGAAGGGTGATAGCACAGCAGTGGGAATTGGAGCATCCTCGAGCTTATTTCGCTGGCCAGTCTTTTGCTTCGGCCAGTGACGTCGCGTGGCGTCAAGGAGTCAGGGCTGAATGCTCCTATCGTCGTGGTTTGGTGGCGGCCACGATTCTTTGGGACTTGTCCAAGTTTTACGAAACCATCGACCTCGGGCTTTTGGAGCAGCGTTGCGTGCAACACGGGGTCCCTGTGGCCTTATATCGTCTCTCGATCGCGGCCTACCGATGGGGCCCGGTTTATTTGCATGGCTGGGTGCGTCTCGGGCCCGCTGATGGCGGCTCGAGGGGTTATCGCGGGTTGTTCGTTAGCCACGACATGGGTCAAGGTCTACATGATCACCCCTCTTGACTCCTTGAAGCTCGGGCCTAGCGTCCAGCTGGACCAGTACATCGATGATAGCGGGCTGTCTGCGGTGGGCTCCAAGGCCCAGGTCGTGCATGATTTAAAGGAAGCCTCGCAGGGCCTGCGCGACGCTCTCACCTTGGACATGAAATGCAAGGTGGCGCCTGATAAGGCCTCTTTTGTCTGCTCTTCTGCTGAGGTCTCTTCGCAGCTTCGTCAGTTCCTGGGGCTCCTCGCTGGGCCGATCACGGACAGTGCCGTGAACCTGGGGATCGACGATGCTGCAGGGAGACCCAGACGAGCCGCCAGGAGAGGCCACAAGTTTAGGGTCCGCGTGGACAGCCTGAAAGCTTCTACAAAGAAGAAGCTCGTCAAGCTGAGTTGCAGCCTCGGTAAGTATTGTAAGCGTATTTGGGTCTCTGGGACTTTGCCTGGGGTTCTCTACGGGGCGGAGATCCATGGGCTTTCGGACTTCGAGTTGGCGAAGATCCGTCGTGAAGCGGGGCGCGTTCTGAGACCTGGTGCGGGGGGGCGTTCACTGACCGCCACCCTCCTTCTGAACGATGACCCGACTTGGGTGGGGGCTGTGGCCCCCGTGGTTAGGCACGCCAAAGAAATATGGGCGCTCCAGACGGGTGCCTATCCCTACACGATCCCTTGGGACCAGTTGAGACTCAGCTGGGAGACCGTGTTCGCGGCGGCGGAATCTAGGTGGCGCGACGTCGGGGGACCCATTGGCGCCATGCGTCTTTCCCTTATTCGCATCAAGTGGTCTATGTCAGATTTCGTCACGATCGTGAACGATTTCGGGGAGACGATATTGCTGACGAGCGTGTCCCCAGCTATGCTGAAGAAAATGTTGCAGCAGGCCTGTCGGCGTGCCCTGGAGCGTGAGGCTTCGGCTAAGCAGGGCCTGTCTTGCGATCGATTGTGTTTCGACATCGTCCGATCTCGCCTCCGATCGTCGCGGGTCACCTCCCAGGAACGTGGATCGATCAGGAGCTTGACTTGCGAAGCGCTCTGGACTCGCGATCGGGCGATCAAGGTCGGGTACCGCGGTCTCGAGGATCGATGCGAGCTCTGCGGTTTCACTGGCGATTCGACCTTCCATCGACTCTGGCGCTGCCCTGCCGTCGCCTCCACGAGAGAGGAGACCGTTTCACAGAGTTTGATTGATGAAGCCGCTGACGCGGACCTGGCCGACCCCGAAGTTGCTCTGCTTTTCACCAGGGGTGTCTTTCCGCATCCTGGAGACGTCTTCCCTCGGCCGTCTCGGGAGTTTTTGGATTGTGAATTTCAGGCCAGATGTGAATGGGTTGAGCCTCCCCAGGACGGTGGCACCTTTGATGGCGATATCTTCCTTGACGGTAGCTGCTTCCGTCATGAGATTGCCGAGCTCTCGCGCGCTGGATATGGGCTCGTTAAGGTCGACTCTTCGGGTGACAGGGTGTGCCACATCTATGGGCCTATCCACGCCCCTTTCCTCCAGACCTCCCAGTGTGCCGAATTCGCTGCCCTGGCCCGCGGCGGAGTGGAGGTCATGAGTGACGCGAGCCAAGGGCCCGTCGCCGAGATCGGCGAGGACCGACATCCTGGGCAGGAGCAGCCTCGCCTGTCACATTTTTATAGCGACTGCTTGAACGTGGTCTCTGCTTGTGCTGGGGACAAGAGTTCGCAGCTGAGCTATCGCCGCCCGTTCGCGGGGCTGATGATGATGTATCGTCTTGGGGTGTCGTCGGTCCAGTCGGTCGTCAAAGTCGATGCCCACAAAGACCCGCACGAAGCGGGCATATCCTCCCTGGAGCGCTGGAGGCGCCTCGGGAATGACCTGGCGGATCGCGCCGCCAAGCAGGGTGCTGGACTCCACCCCCGTCCGTCGGAGGCCGAGGAGAGCCGGCTGCAATGGCAAATTAAGAGAGCCAAGGCGGTCTGCAAGCTCGCAGCGAAGCTGCTGCCAGCGTGGCCGCCGTTGGATTTGACCGACTGCTACTGGGAGCGCCCTCCCGTCGAACCTGCTCCTCCCTCGCGGCCCCATGCTTGGGCGTGGGAGAAGCGCGAGGGGCATTTCGGATTTGCTTTCTGGCGTTGCCAGCACTGTTTGATCGTGCGCAAAGGACGCTCGATACCGCCGCCAGGTTCTTGCTCGAATGAATCGAAGCTGGACGGCCCATCCCTGAGAGCGCTCGGGCACCATGCCATATCGCTGCTCGTTTCTGATGGCTCCTTCCTGACTGTCTGTCTTAGGTGTCATTCCTACGGCTCGCTGGGTTATATTCGGGGCTTAGCTCAGCGATGTCAGCCACCGACGCGTAAGAAGACCGAGACTTTCAATGCTATTTGTAAGGGTCGGCATCCGTCGAAATACGAGCTTCGTGTGGAGCCCGCGCCGTGGCGTTAGTTTTTTCCCGCTGTTTCCACGGCACTGCGGGACTGGCAGCCGTCTCGGCGTGAGTCCCCCCGCAGTTGCCGTGACGTCAGCGGTGGGGTAGGGCTGGTGGCGAAAGTGGCAGGAGGCGCCACCCAGCCCTGCCCCCTCCTCTGGGGGGAGGCGCCGTCCCCCCAGAGAGTGTGGCTTGGCAGTAGTGGATGTCAAAATCTTCCTCCTCCTCCTCCTCCTCCTCCTCCTCCCTCCTCCCCTCCTGCCTCCCTCTCCTCCTCCTCTCCTCTCCTCCTCCCTCCTCCTTCTCCTCCTCCTCTCCTACCTCCTCCTCCTCCTCCCTCCTCCCCTCCCTCCTCCCCCTCCTCCCTTCTCCCTCCTCCCTCCTCCCTCCTCCCTCCTCCTCCCTCCTCCGTCCGTAGCCATTTTGGCTCAAGCCAGCTCCCGCGCGGATGGTTCAAGGGCCCGCTTCTGGCGAAAGCCTATCGGCGGCCCTTCGCTCCAGCGCGCGGCGGATGGCGCGGGATGCTGCTCTCGATGGCGGCAAGGCTTCCTCCTCAGCTGCTCGCCGGTCTGCCCGGAAGGCCACCGCTGCTTCTGCTGAGCGAGCGGTCCATCACTTCCGCGCTGAAGCTGAGGGCTGGAAAAAGAAGTACTACGACCTGGCCTACTCCCTGGGTTCGGACAGGTGCCCTCAGCTGGGTCCTCGGCTGGCGGCCGCGGCGCCTGCGCTGGAGGCACTGCTCTTGGACGAGCCTGTGGAGCGCACTGATGTCCTTCGACGGAACGTTGCCCTGCATTCGGTTGCCGAGGGGATCGACATCGTCACCGCCTCGCCTGCCGAGCTCAACTCTGCGCAACGTGGGCCTCGCTTGGGAGCCAGGCCCCCATGTGTTGTGGCGGCTTCCTTTTCTGCACTTCGGGTATGTGCGGCGCCCTTTGTGCCTGGAGCTGCCGCTCATCATGGGCTTCTTGACGGAGTCAGTTTGTGTCGTGGTGATTTCAAAGATGCAGTCGTTCCTGATCCTTGTGGTGAAGATGGCCTTGGTGACAATGCCACCGCGGTGGAGGTCTCTTTGGACATGGATGTTGAGCACATCTCCGTGGTCGAGGAGCAGCTGCGCTCTTGGGAGGCTTTGGGTGCCGCGTCCCGCTCCTTTGTGCGCAGGCGTCGGCGCCTTGACGGCGGCTTGCGGTTGTCATCAGCTCCGATTTCGGAATCTCCCAACTCCGCCAGGGGAGGGTACGACTATTCAGGGGACGAGGTCTTCGTCGGAGGCCCCGTTCCAGTGCAGTGGGTTCCGCGAGACCTGCCGCCCGACCCTGGAGAGGGCCGCCTCTTCTCCTGAGATGGCTTCTGGTACCCTCATGTTCGTGTTCGTCATTGTCGGCATCTGCTGGTTCTGGGTATTGGCATTTTGCGTCGTATGGCATTGTTGTTTTCTCGTGCGGGGTTCATTTTCCTGGTTCGGCCTCATCAGGTGCGGGCTGTATGGCGTGCAGCTGTCCGACGAGATCTACGGCGTTATTGTGTTGCTCCTCATTTCTGGTTTATTCTGTCAGTGTTCGGCATGGAGGTGTACTTCATCAGATGCTGGGAGTTGCCGTTTTCTCTGGGCCTTTTCCGTCTTCTTCGATTTCGGCTACTCCTTCATCACCTTCCTCATTGACTTGGGGTCCTTGAGCGTGGATGTCAAAAAATCCTCCTCCCTCCTCCCTCCTCCCTCTTCCTCCTCCTCCTCCTCCTCCGCCTCCTCCTCCACGCCGACCCCCAGTGCCTCGCTGGGGCCGCCTCTGGGGCCACCGGCTCCCCGGGCGGCGGAGCACGCTCCGACGTCCTGGCCTCGGTCCGTCGGCGGCGGTGGGCGTGCTCGCGGGGCCGCTGCGGGTGCCCCCCGCGAAGGCGTGCGCGTTGCGGCACGGCCTTCGAAGAAGAAGAAGAAAAAGTGATGGGCCTGTTTTCCACCACCACTACCATAGGTTGGAGGGGTGAAGAAGAGGAGGAGGGGGAGGAGGAGGAGGAGGGGGAGGAGGAGGAGGAGGAGGAGGAGGAGGAGGAGGAGGAGGAGGAGGAGGAGGAGGAGGGAGGAGGGGAGGAGGGGGAGGGAGGGGAGGAGGGAGGAGGGAGGAGGGAGAGGAGGAGGGAGGAGGGAGGAGGAGGAGGAGGAGGAGGAGGAGGAGGAGGAGGAGGACTCCCCCCCCTCCAACTTCTGGTGGTGGTGGTAGTGGTGGTGGTGGTGGTGGTCGAAAGCAGGCCCATCAAGAAAAAGAAAAACGCCATGAACATAAATGTTTGGCGCTCCACGCGGATCTCTTGGATCCGCGTTGGGTCCCCCGGGCGGCGCCTCCGGCGCTGCCCCCGGCGCGCTCCGCGGCGCCAGGGAGGGGGGTATGGCGCGGATCCAAGAAATCCGCGCGGAGCGCCAAAAGTTTATGTTAATGTGTTTTCGTTTCTTCTCCTAGGCCTGCTGCTGCTCGCCGTCGCGGTGGGCGTGGGCGCCGCGCAGGTGGCGTACGGCCATCTGCCGCGGCAGGCGGACGCGGCGGAGGCGGAGCCGTGCAGGCCCTGCGCACGTCGGGCGGCGAGGCCTGCACACACATCCGCTGCTCCCTGGCCGGGCCCATGCTGAGCCCAGGAGCCGTGCAAGTTCTCCGCCCTCTGGGCTGGGCCAGGAGGGCGTGGCGTAGACACCGCTGCTGGGTGCAGGTTGGGCCTGGCCAGGAGGCAGCGCATGTGTATGTAGATTTCGCCGCCCTAGCACGGGGGCACCGGTGCGCCACCACACATTCGCCTGGGCAGGGCCACCCCGGGCTCTTGTGCCCAGAGGGTCGATGCTTCGTCGGTCGGGTGCATGAAGGGTGTGGAATGTCGCGGGGATCGTCGGGTGCTTGTCAAAAGCGCGCCCTTCCATGCCGAGAGAGGGGGTGTGCTGACCACGCACGTACCGACATCGAAAGCCTTCTGCTCATGTTTGGCCAGGCTTGCAGGGTCCAGGGCGGCCCTGACCAGGCACGGTGGGGGTGCACGGGCGCCTTCTGCGCAGGGTCGTGACCAGCGGTGCCGCCACAAGCCCCTGCTACGAGATCCATGGCGCCGCCGTGGTGACGGAGCGCCAGAAGAGCAGACCAACCACAGCCTGGGGAGTTGATCCTGATCCGTCTGCATGCGACAGGTCTCGCCACCGTGTCGGCGGCAGCACTCCGTGGGGCGGCGCTGCGAGCACCGAAGGCCGCAGTGTGCGGCTCTTTGCCGCTCCTGCTCCTTGAGGGGCTCTCATGGGGACTGCCTGGGCCGTTTGGAGTGGGGGCCGTCTTATCTTAGTGCCGTTTTGTGGCCACCTTGAACCGTCTTGGGGCCGTCTTGGGCCGTCTTGAGGTCCTCTCGGCCGTCTGGGGAGTCTCTCGGAGTTTCATTGGGTTACGGCCATCTTGGGACCCTCTTGGGCTGTCCTGGGCCCTCCCGTGCTTGGGGCCCTCTTGTGGCTGTCCTGGACAGTCAGGGAGAATATTTCGGCCCTCAGTTGACTATTTTGGCATCTAGTTGCGTACTCCTAAGCCCTCTTGGAATCATCTTGAGGTGAGAGACCCATGAAACTCAACATATTCAAAATCATCAGAAATCATAATGTGTGTTGAGTGATTTTGGCCTTCGGTTTCATGGGCCCCCTTTGGCCTTGGGAAATGTTAGGTGCCTCTTGAGGCATCGCTCGGGAATACAGCTGCCTCCGGCAACCCTGCCACCGTGCGTGCCAGCGCTGCATTCTGGGTGGCAACTACTCCAGAAAGCAAGGAGGCTTGCTTAGGGCCACTTGGGGCAGAAGGCTCTAATTCTGGGTCGCGTTTCCACTATTGGGCCCTTTCGGGGCGGTCTTGGGTCCCTCTTGGGCAGTCGTGGGCGCCTCTTGGGCCGTCTTGGAGCCCTCTTGGGACGCCTTCGAGCTCTCTTGGGGGTTACTTGAGCCTTCTCGGGGGAGTCCTGGGGGCCTCTTGGGCCGCCTTGGAGCGTCGGAAGCTCGACCAGGTGAGAACCCACGAAGCATTGAAAAATCACAGGGACATCAAGTGTTCTTGCCTCTCGGGGCCCTCTAGGGGCCTTTGGGGGCTTCTTTTGGCCCTCTTGGGGGCCTCCTGAGGCCCTCTTGGGGCGGAAGGCTCGGATTGTTGGTTCGTGTTCACCCTCTAGGGCCCTTCTTGGGGCCGTCTTGGGGCCCTCTTGGGCATTCTTGGGGCGTTTCTTGGGCCGTGTTGGAGCCCTCTTGGGCCGTCTTGGGGCCCTCTTCGGGGCCTATTGGGCTGTCTTGGGGCAGTTTTGGCGGTCTCTTGGGTCGTCTTGGGACGTCGGAAGCTCGAAAAGGCGAGAACCCAAAACACATTGAAACACGTAAGGAACATCACTGATGTTTGCATCTCGAAGCCCTCTTGGGACGGCTCTTGGGGCTCTCTTGGGACGCTTCGACGGCCTCGTGGGCCGTCTTGAAGCCATCCTGGGCCGTCTTGAGGCCAACGTGGCCCGTCTTGGAGCGACACGGGACCGTCTTGGAGGCATCTGGGCCTCGGAAGGAGGGTTCTGTTATATTTTGTAAGAGTTCTGGTTTCGGGAGTAGGGGGCGGTGCGCGCAACGAGCTGCGGCCAGGAGAGGGGGGAGGGGGGGACCCCTTAGAAGCTCACAGAAACACGACTAGGCAGACCTTGGCATTATTCCACGACGCAACGGTGCACCAGGGACGTCACTGTGGCGGATCTTGGCGGCCTTGGTGGCTTTCCAGCGCCGTCTTGGACGCCTCGGGGAGCATTGGAGAGAGAGCCCTGGGGAAGCTTCGCACAGCGAGTGGCAGGAGGGGGGGAGGGGGGGCACGCGATCAAGTGCGCCGAGGGGGGGCTGGGGCCTTAGAAGAATACGCAAACCTACCAGGCAGCATTTGGCATTCTACCACGCCTCCGCGTGCCATAGGGGGCATGGTGGCGGACCTCCCCGCGGGGGCCCTCAGTTCCAGCACTCCATCTCAAGAGATCGACGACGCGATGGGTTCCCCTGGGGGGGTTAGGAATTGTGCAGCTCTCTCAGGTGTGGCCGGTCTGAAGAAGGATAACAAGATGTTTGCCAGCTTGGACTCAAGCAGCGACTTGTTGCATTCTCGATGTGCAATCTGTTTGGTGCAATTTGTGCATTGTGCAACTTATGTTTTGATATGTGTATGGTGCAGCCTTTGTGGTACAATGTATGTGGTGCAAGCTATTGGGTGCAGTCTGCTTGGTGCAACATATTGGGCGTAATCTGTATGGTGCAATATACTGGGGGCGGGCAGCGAACGTTCACTACTAGTTGTCAATTCCACTGGTCGCACAATCATCCCACTCTCCCACCCGCAATTCGTTCTGCACAACCCATGCGGCCGCGATTGTGGTATCTCTTTGGCACTGGCTGGCGCATGTGTGCGGCTGAGTAAGCGCGCAAGCTCGCGCGCAGAGCGACCAGTTTGGCACAGCCGATGCGGCCGCGATGGCGCTTGCCGAAAGCAACTTCCCAGCTCGTCTCGGAAGCTGCGCTGGCGCGCGGGCACTTCGGTGCGGGTCGGTGGCTCGGGCGGGCGCGGTATTATGATGACATCGACAAAGACGGCAGCGATGATCAGAGTAGCGACGATGACGAGAATGACGGATGACGACGGCGACGGCAAGGCCAATGACTGCGCCGATGGTGGTGACAACGATGACTGTGATGATGTATGAAGGTGCTTGAAAGCTGATTGCGGCAATGGGGGCGGTTGTCGGTGACGGTGACGTGATGCGACGGCACATGTGAAGGTGATGGTGAGGAAGTGCGCGCGCAAGAAACCTGGCATTACTTATGTTGAACGGCCGCGCTGGTTTTTGACTGTCGTTTGAAGGGCTATATCTTGAAATGCGTCGGGACCGCGTGGAATTTCGACATGCGCGCGCGGCCGCGCGCGTGTAGCCCGCATGGTTTTACCCGAGGCGGGTCCGTGCACTGGACGCACGGTGGTTCAACGCGAGCGCATCCGCGTGGTGAGATGTGAATGCGGGTTCTGGACGAGATTGCGAAATCTTGATGGTTAGCCCATGATCTGCACGAACGACATGGGCACGGAAAGAAAGGGTACAATGCCCAACAGCGGATCCTGTTCATTTTGAACCGGACTCGCTGTCCACGCCGCCGCGGCCTGTGTCCATGCGAGACAGAAGGCCGCCTGCCCAACAGCGGCCGCTGTTGGTTTGGGACAACATTTGTTGTTGGGCATTGTACCCATTCTTTCCGTACCCATTTCGGGCGTCCAAACATGAAGTTGGCAATCGCGCGCAAACAACGTTTTATCTGCATTATGTGCGTTGTAACACCAAGCAGGTTTGACGCGTTTATCTTGCCATGTTCGCAAACATGTTGTGTTTGGTATGGTTTCGACGTGTGCGCGCCCGTGTGGACTTTGTGCCGTTTTAGTTTGCCAGAGGTTTTTGGACAATGCTATTCTGTGGTGAATGAGTGCGTGCACATAGTATTACTTGACAGGGAAGGGTGGGGCCGGGAACACAGTTATAAACAAATTCACGAAGCGATCGTCATGAATCATTGGCCAACGGCCACGCCCACGGGAGGATCATTAAGTGAAGTTTACCTTTCAATGTTGGCAGCGTGCGCTGGTGTGCACCATGGGCCAGGTTTTCGATCTACCATCAATCATTTGGCTTGCGCGCCCGGTAGCAACATTGAGAGGCGGATGCCACTGAATGCCCGGGTGCACTTCCAAGTTATCCTTTTCAGGGGATCGCAAGCGTGGGCGGTTGCAGGTTTTGCCTTTTGGCTTCGTTCCCCCAGTGAGATGACGAGCGTGTGGCGCGCGGTGAGGAGGAGACGGCATTCCGTAACATCGACAGGCGGATGTCACTTAATGCGACGGGCGCCGCCCGCTTTGTTTCAACATAGTTTGGGTTTCCGTGCCATTATTCCCTACCTAGGCTCTGCCTAGAAGGAATCTTACTGTCTTGGGTTAAAGGGGCCGGGCAGTGGAACTCGCCCTGGGCGGTTCCCCCAGGATCCGCCCCGCGGTTCCCCCAGTTACGTCCCCTTAGCTTAGCGTTGCTTATTTCATCTTAGCTTAGCCTAGCTTAGCTTAGCTTAGCTTAGCCTAACCTAGCCTAGCTTAGCTTAGCTTAGCTTAGCCTGTCTAGCTTATTTCAGCTTAGCTCAGCTTGTCTTAGCGCAGCGCAGCGCAGCATTAGCGCAGCATATCATAACACAGCATATCATAGCATAGCATAGCGTAGCATAGCGCAGCATATCATAGCGCAGCATAGCATAGCATAGCCTATCATATCATAGCATAGCATAGCATAGCGCAGCATAGCATGGTATATCATAGCTTAGCTCAGCAAAGCATAGCACAGCGCAGTATATCATAGCATAGCGTAGCATAACACATCGCAGTATACCATAGCATATCATAGCATAGCATATCATAGCGCAGCATATCATATCATAGCATAGCATAGCATATCATAGCATAGCATATCATAGCATAGATCAGCATAACATAACATAAAATAGCATAACATAGCGCAGCATAGCAGATGAGGATAAGGAGGAGGAGGAGGACGGCGTTTACCGTTACTATTAATATTGGTTTCCTCGGGGCTCCAAATCCTAGGCCGGGTCGCTCTGGGATAATTGGTTATAAGTTGTTTTTCTCGCGGGGAGGTTATGTGCTGCATGCTACGAATCTATGTGGTGCAATTCAAACATGTCCATTACTAATCAGTCGACATCATTTTTCGCATTCATCCCACCCTCACACAACCCACGCGGCCGAGATTGCAGTGACTACTCGGCATTCACTGGCGCGTCTCTGCGGCTGGACGCGCGCAAGTTCGCGCGCAGAACGGCCAGCTGGTCTGGCACAGTAGATGCAGTTTCGACGGCGTTTAACGATGGGAATCTCCCAGTGTGTCTCTACGGCCGCGCTGGCGCGCGGGCACTTGGGTGTGGGTCGGTGATTCGGGCGGGCGCGGTGGCGATGATGACGATTACGGTGGCCAGGCCAGTGACAGCGCCGATGCCTATGACGACGACGACGATCATAGTATCCGTGTGTCGGGCATGGCGGTGATTGACTGATGATGGCGGCGATTGACGATGACGATGACCGCGGTGCTACGGCGGCGCTGATGAAGGCGATGGTGGGGGAGTGTGCGCGCGGAAATTCTAGAAACCTGGCAGAATGTTCGTTGGCTATCGAGTGGTCCTCGTTGGGGGTTTCTTGGGGGCTTCTTGGGTTTCTGTTGGAGCCTCTGGGGTTTCTTGGAGCTCCTTTGGGAGCATTTGGGAGCATTTTGGGGCGTCTGGGCGCCGCTTGGAGCCGAGGGCTCGATATGTCCGTTCCGGTTTCCACTTTGGGCCTCCTCTTGGGCTGTCCTGGTGCCATCTTGGGCCGTGTCGGAGGCCTCTTGGGCCGTCTTGGAGATCTCTTGGGCTAAGAAAACGAGACCTCTCGGGCTTCTTAGGGCGATTTTGGGGGCCTCTTGGGCCGTCTTGGGGCGTCGCGATGCCGAAAGATGGAACCCCCAAAACCTAAGGAAAAGCAATGCATTTTGCCTCTTGGTGCCCTCTTGGGAGTCCTCTTGAAAGCCTCGTGGGGCGTCTGGGGGCTATCTTGAGCATCTTGGAGCGATTTTGTGGCATCGCGGGCTCTTGGTGTACCATCTTGGGGGCCTCTTGGGCGTTCTTGGTTCTTCTTGGGACTCTCTCTTGGCCTTTCTTGGGACTCTCGGGGACGTCTCGGGGCCCTGTTGGTGCGCTCCTGGAGCGCTCTGGGGGCTTCTCCCGGGACCTTGCCGGGGTACTTTTCGTCCGGGGACCCCCAAGGGCCGCCCCGCGCGCGCGAATTAGAAATACTGTGAACCGTTCACCGGAGATCTTAGCACGCCTCTGGCCCGTTGGGCCGGCGAATTTAATTGCAGCAAGTGCGCGCAAGCAAGATACATGCAATGGTTGCGCAAAAAAACAAGCGGTTTTGATGTTGAGTTGGTTGCAGCTCTTGTGTGCTTGGTATGATTTCGACCTGTGTACGCGCGTGTGGACTTCGTGTGCCGTTTTTGTCATATACATGTGCACATATATGTCTGAGATCATTTGAGATCATCGGGTGCGCGCGCATGGTGTTGTTTGATAGTGATGACGGGGGGTCGATAACCGGTAGTTTGGAATGGTATATGCTCGTGGGGGAAGTGAACTATGGAGTGGTGTCCTATGTCATATGCGCTACCCCAGGAGGACCGATAAGTCCGAGTTCGGGAGGATGGTGGAGTCAAAGTTTTCTTTTGCGTGATGAATGTAGGTGCAGTCTATGTCGTGCACTACAGGTTGCGAACTTATGGTGCCGTCAATATGGCGCAAGCCACGTTGCGCAATCTATGTGGCACAACGCCAGCCGGAAACGCCAGCCAGCCCACGGGGCGCTCACGAGACACCCGCTGGCGGGCATCGGGGGACAACCCGGAAAAGCTTGCCAGCGCACTGGTAGCGCACGGGGCGCCCACGACGCGCTCACGGGCGGGCAATTGTCAGACGAGGCGCTCCAGGGGCAGAGCTGGAGGCGCCGCCAGGGCGTGTGGGGAGGGCGGAAGGGGGGGCGTGCAGCTGCGACCCACGAGATCTGCGCGGACCTCCGAAAGCTTGTGCTTGTGCAACTCTGCGGGCCGCCTTCCAGGTGAAGCTGGCGCACTTCTTGCCGTTGCACGCCACGGAGGTGCTCCGCGGACGGCACATGCACACAGGGCTCGAGCCAAGCGGTGTTTGGGCGATCTCGTGGACCGTTTTCCTCTTGACTCCGTTTCGCAGCAAGAATGGCGGAGCGAAGACAAGAGCGAGGGACAACGAAAACGGAAGACAGTGTTTAGCCAGAGCCCTGCTGCACACCACCGCCGTGCCCGACCAGGACCATCCTGGGCCCCATGACGGCTGGCGCAGGCGCGCCCTCGAGGGCCCACCAGCGAGGAGGGCGCGCACCCTCGCAGCACGCCAGAGAGCTCCAGGATTGCCCCGGCCAGGCGCGGGGGCGGTGCGCGCAGGGTGCGCTCCTCCTCCTCCTCCTCCTCCTCCTCCTCCTCCTCCTCCTCCTCCTCCTCCTCCTCCTCCTCCTCCTCCTCCTCCTCCTCCTCCTCCTCTCCTCCTCCTCCTCCTCCTCCTCCTCCTCCTCCTCCTCCTCCTCCTCCTCCTCCTCCTCCTCCTCTCTCCTCCTCTCCTTCCTCCTCCTCCTCCTCCTCCTCCTCCTCCTCCTCCTCTCCTCCTCCTCCTCCTCCTCCTCCTCCTCCTCCTCCGCGCAGAGGTGCTGCTGCTGCTGGCCTGGGCCGTGGAGGCGGCGCGGCCGCGCGGGGCGCTGGCGCTGGTGCGCGGCGCCGCCGGGGGCTGCTGGGCGCTGGCGCTGCTCGGCCTGGCGGCCACGCTACGCGGGGAGGACCTCCGGAGCCCCTCGCCGGGCCTCGCCGCGCTCCTGTGCCTGGCGCTCGGCAGCATCCCGGGGCCGGGGAGGTCTGCGCCGCGGGGCGGCCTTCCCAGCTCAGGGCGACGAGATCTATACATATCCTCTGCTCCTGGCCAGGCCCATCCTGGGCCCAGGATGGGCCTGGCCAGGAGCAGTAGATATGTATAGATCTCGTCGCCCTACAGCCCCTATCCCCGGCTCCCTCGCGCGGATCGCGCCCCTGCTCCCCTCCCGCTGTGCCCTCCTTCCCCCTGTCCCTCCGAGGCGGGAGTTTGTACATGACCACCGCTTGGAGGGTCAGTTTTCGGAGCCTCGGCAGGCGGTGGATCTGGTCATGTTCGGGCCCCTGTGGGCCGAAATATGTCCGAATCCACCGCCCGCTGGGGCACAAGGACGTCGGTTCCCAGGCGGTGGATATGGATAAATCCCCGCCTCGCATTCCCTCCCCTCTGTCCCTCCTCTCCCCCGTCCCCCATGCCTCCCCCCTTCCCTGCCGTGTGGCGTGCAGAATGCGTTCGTGGCGTCGTGGCATCTTGACATGTCTGGCCGCATTCTGTAGGATCCCACCAGCTGTACCCCCATGGCTGTCTCCCTCCTCCTCCTCCTCCTCCTCCTGAGAGGTCCGTGCAAAGGCGGGCTCCACTTCGAGCCCTCGCGTGCAAGTGTAGCTGCATGAGAAGTTCTGCCCAGGAATCACATCAGCATGATCAGCCCCTCGCCGTCGCAGTCGAGCTCTGGTTTGGTTTTCGGAACCCTCGCCGCCCGAGCGTAATGCCAGCTGACAGGAAACCGTTTACGCTCCCTGCGCGCGACCAGCGGAGGGCGTCTCCGGCATCCTCGGTTTCGTCTATCTTCCCGAACCTGCGCTCGAAGCCGCTCCCTCCTGGAGCTACAGTGAGCGGCTTGAATAAGGGACACTTACTTTTCAGAAGGGGCTCGGTCGTTCCTGAGGCTTGCATGCGTTGTTTATCGTTCCTCATGTGTTATTTTTTATGTATCGTTCCTTACGCGTTATTCCTTGGAAAAAAGTGCTTCGTTCCTTATTCATCTTTCCTTAGGTCAGGCCGATGACTGTACTGGTTTCTTGTCATTGGTTCACTTCGGGTGAGGCGCAAGCCTCGAAACTGCTGGCGCTGTGCTCCGCCCTGGCTGGGCCCTCCAAGACCTGAGCCTCCAGACGGAGCTGGGCAGCAGGCTGCAACCGCCTGCTGCTGCACCACCGTGACGAGAGTTTCTGCCAAGCTGCCTTCGCCAATAGCGCGTCAGGGCAGGGTAGTTCGGTGCAGAAGTGCTCCAACTGCTCCTCGTGCGGGCGCGTCCTGCTCGATACTCTATTGAGGCTGTGGCGCGCAGTGGTTTCCGATCCGGCTTGGGGGTAACATAGTTACAGGTATCAGGCGGATCTTCCATCACATCCTTGCTTTCCTCCACGATCATTGCTTTGACCTCTGCCGGCGTCGCCTGCACGCTAGCAGTCTGGTAAACTTGTGCACAATGTAGTTATTATGTTTTTTGCCGCTTGTCGAAGTTCTGCTGCTCTGCGTACCTGTATATGCTGCCAATGCTGTATGCTGGCTGTCCTGATTCGCTTGCGGATATGCTGTATCTTCTTTGTGAGCTCGTCTATGTCCTCAGTTGGTTATGATGATTATTTGGATGTTCGTCTTCTTCGAAGTAGTTCATTGGTTTCCTTCGTGTGCTGCTTGTGGCTCTCGGCGTAGAGGGGTAATCTGCTAGCAGCTCGACGGTCGCTTAAGGGCCCCGAGGAGTAGATGGTTCATGTTGTTTACGTACCCCCACTGCCTCCGCCTTCTCGATCTCCTCCTTGATCTTCTCCACCTCCTTCATGACACGATATACTTCGTTCCTTCTGTACCACCTGTGCGCATTGCTATAGAGCTTGTCGATTGGGCCGAGGGACTCGACGAGGTAGCGGTTCGGCTGCGAGACGAAAGTACATCGAATTGTGTATTGGTCGATGGTCCCTGGGCTACTTGGACTTGATGTTTTGTAGTCTCCTGGCCGACCACGGTCGAACTTGAATTCGTTCAATCGTTTGTGTCAAGCCCGAGGGAACACAAACATGATCAATGTACGAATTGCCTTTCTCTTCTATGTAGGTATGCGGACCTCTGTAGTGCGCAGAAGTACTAGTGAGCTCCCACCCATCAAACTATGGTCTGAACCTGGCCGACGACTGTGTGATCTTTCCGCTGCCATTTTTTTTGTTTTCTCTCTCTCTCTCTCTCTATATATATATATCTATATAAATGTACCTGCCACCTTGTCGTCCTCGCTGTGTGGTAGGGCTTCGTTAAGATCTCTCAGATGGAAGGAGATGATTCCGCGGAGGGATCAAGTCAGCAATCCATTCGAGTATCTTCTCCAGCGTTCGCTCATAGTGTTGTCTCTCTCCTGATGATGTCTCCCGCGTTGGGAAGTATGCAGTGAGCATGCCGTACTGCACACCCTGCTTATCAATAAGTACTGCTAAATCTTTGCCTCGAAGACTCTTCGGTACGTCAAGCAAACCTGATGCTCTTGATGGTGGATCTCGTCGTGTTCCACAGGAGGGTGACTCCGCAACTCTTGGTGGTAAACTGTCTATATGAGTATCCTGTGTGCAGACAAGCGCAATCACACCCTTCTGCCTTCTGTCCTAATTCCTGAATGATGTCGAGTAACCTGCTGAACATATTTGCACATCTAATAAGTTGCGTGCATACGACCAGCCTCAATCAACCTGCTGCCGCGGACATGGAGGCGCTGCCGCCGCCACCCTGACTGCTGCCGTGGGGAGCACGCCCCACGAACAGGATGCGCGCGGGGGCGGCTCCTCCAGTGGGTGGCGCTTGCTCCCGCGCCTGTCCTGAGCCACCTGGAGGAGGCGGAGGATCGACGGCGAGCCTTGGGTGGGAAGTGAGAAAGGGCTGGGCCTTCTCCTCCTTCTCCTCGGCCTTCTGAGAAGTTTTCGAAGCCTTCCCCGAAGATGCCCAACACTTCTCAGCAGGCCAGAGGGCTTCTGAGAAGCCCCACCGCCTTCCGAGAAGGCCCGCCCCATCTCACTCTTCCCCCCCTTGGCTCGCCGCCGAGAGGAGGAGGAGGAGGAGGAGGAGGAGGAGGAGGAGGAGGAGGAGGAGGAGGAGGAAGTGGAGGAAATGGGAGGGAGGACGAGAAGAGCTGGCCTGCCGAGCGGCTTGCGGTACGCCGTGGTGACAACCTCATCGTCGCCTCGCTGGTGAAGCTCAGGGCGTGTCCGGGCACACAGACGGCATTGGGGCCAGGTGTACCCTCTGAATTCCGTTGTTTGTGTCGATCAGCATCGATTAGCGTCTGGGAGTCGATGGGGTAGCCTCGACTTGGCGTCGGTTCGCATCGGTCAGCGTCGATTTAGCGCCGAGCGGCGTCGATCTAGCGTCGGTTCGCAAGAGCCGACAAGACGGCAGCGGAGCCCCCCACGAGTTGCCGCAGAGCTTCTGCAGGCGAGGAGAGGGCAGGCCCCGCCCCCTCCCCCGTCTCCCCCCCTCGCCCCCCTCCTCTTCCCCTCCCGCCCTGCGCCGCTCGGGGTCGCCTCCCTTGGGGCGGGCGGCTGCGGCGCGCCCCGGCCCCGCGCCGTCCCGCTGACCTTCCTGGCGGCCTTCGTGGCGCCGCTGGGCGGCGGCGCCCGGGCCGGGGCCTCCCGCTGAGAGCGGCCGGGGGCCCGCGCGGCCACCTCCCTGGGAGCAGCGGCGGAGCGGCGTCCCGGCCCGCGCGTGGGGCCCACCGAGGAGACGGTGCCTCGGGACCTTTCTTGTGCGTGGTCTGCACGAGGTGGTCTTATAGAGGGTTTCTGGCCAGGGCTGTCTTGCTTCAGCGCGTCGGGCTTTCTGTTCTGAGAGCACTGCTGGTGTGATTCGAGCGTTTTCGGGTTCTGAGAGCATGTCGTGGTAGGCTTATGGGAAGACCAGGGCGGTCGGTCCCTGCTCAAACCTTTCGGCACGATCGGAATGGGCACGGAAAGAGCGGGTGCATTTGTCGGGCCAGACGCAGGGGTAGGATAGGGAAAGGGGGTTCAAGAGACGGGGGTCATTGCCAACGGGGGTCAGTCAGAGTGCCGGATCTCGCAGGGTCCTGCAGAGCCAGGGTTGCAAAAACCCGGGCCCGGGTGCAGGAAGCTGAGGGATCCTGCAGGAACTTACAAGGTCCTGCAAAGCCTGACTGACCTGGGTTTGGATTCACCCGGGGCACAGTAGATCTCCGGGGGGGGTACGAAATCTGCTGCGCGCAGCTGGTTTCGGCCGGCCGCCGGGCCCATCCTTCGATGCATCGGCGCCTCCCAGCGCCAAGAGGCGCCAGAAAAACCAGATAAGTGAGCTGATTCTCCACCTCACCCTCGTGCTATCCTGCGTTTTCGCCCCCCCCCCCCCCTCCCCACGCCCCCGATACTGGAAGCAGCTCCTGTCCATGCACATCGGGTTTCGCTGTCCGTGCCGCCGCGGGCGTTGTCCATTTGAGGCAAGAGGCGGCCTGCGCAACAGCGGCCGCTGTGGGTTCTGAGCGATCTCTGCCGTTGGGCATCGTGCCCGTCATTCCCGTGCCCACCTCCGGGCGCCCAGCACCTCGCCGGTGCCGGCTGCGTGTGAGGAGTGACCCCTCGCTGGAGTGGCGGCTGGTGCGGGCCCGGGGGGCGCCCCGGGGCCCCCGGCACCCGGCGCCCTGGCCTGCGCGCTCGGACGTGGCTCCCCGGTGGCCCCGTCCAAGCCGCGCGCCGGAGGTCACTCTTGCGCGCAGTCGACTCGCGAGGCCCCCCTCGGGGCACCGGCACGGGCCTCCCTCCGGACCCCCTTCCTCCCCCGGGCGTCGTTCCGCGTCGCCGTGCCGCGGTCTCACTCTCAGCAGCCTCTCTCGTGGTTCGGCACCTTTCTGGGGGGGTCGCATGTGACGAGCTGCGGGAGCCTGGTCGGTGCAAGTGCGCCCTTTGCGGCACGCGGGCCACGCGAAGCGCGCGCGCGTCGGCTCCATTTCGCAGGCGCCGACGGCAGGTCGCCCACAGCGGGCGCTTTTGTAACATAGGTCGCCCGAGCACAGCTCGCCCGGACACGACTGTGCGCAGCCGATCGAACTGTGTGGGAATACCCGTGCATTCTCTGAGATGAACCGAGCGCCGTCTCGAAGCTTCGCCAGCATGCGAGATGGCGCTCGGGGGCGTCGTCCAGCGCGGCGCCGTCGCCACCCTGACTTCGGATCGGCCGTACTTTTTGGTCGTGGGGCGGAAAAGGCCGCCATACTTTTCGAGCTCCTCTTTTGTCCGTATCCGCCTTTTTTGCCGTCGTTGTTTCCCCCATGCCTTTGCATCAGGATCCGCCCCATATTCCTGAGGCGGAACTTCCATTATACTTGTTCGCGTCGTTTGGGGTGCATTTCCCGCACAGCTGTAGGCTCGAGCGTCAGGCACCAGAAGGCGGATCCGATGTCAGGGTTCTCCTCCCTCGCCATGAAGGAGAGGGCTCCCGAGGGAAACGGGGCCCCAGTTGTTGTTTATAGTTGTTGGCCTCCCGGGGCCCCCAACGGGCCCCGGGACCGTCAGACAACGGCTCAGGATGCAGTAGACTTTGGGAGAAGCCCCAGGGGGTTCCAGGATCCGTTTCCCTCAGGGCCCGTTCCTTTTATGCCAACTCTTTCCCCCTCCGCGCCGCTCTGAGCATGAAGGAGGGGGGTCCTGCAGCTGCGGAAAAAGGTACCGATACTGCTACCCTTCCTTTGTTCTCGCCTTTTTGGGCCGTCTGGGTGGCCCTCGTCGCCACTGCTGGATTCGCCTTGAAATTCATGTTAGAATGCGCCCCTGGAGAGGGTTGGGGAGTAGCGGTCTCGGCAGTTTTTGGTTACCCAAGTCCGGCAGTGAAGGGGCTAGAGCAGGTCATCGGGAAAGAAACGGGATCCAGATTCCGCTCCCTCATACCGACCAACCAACCTCTGCCGACTTCCTCCTCCTCCTCCTCCTCCTTCTTATGTTCCTCTTTCTCATCCCCCTCCTCGTCCTCCTCCTCCTCCTCCTCCTCCTCCTCCTCTTCCTCCTCCTCCTCCCCCTCCGCTTCCTCCTCCTTCCCCCTCCGCTTCCTCCTTCTCCTCCTCCCCCTCCGCTTCTTCCTCCTCCTCCTTCTCCTCCTTCTCCGCCCCAGACCTCCAACGTCTTGAAGACATGGCCTCCGCCAACAGGCTCTAGGCAGCATTTGCCACAGGTTGCCCCAGGCACCCTGCCATCTGTCACACCGTCCTTTGTTTCAGTGGGTGCACCACTGTACCACAGGTCTGGCCAGGGTTTGCTCAGGCACCCTGCAATCGACCACATTGTCCGCGAGTGTAACTTTGCGAATAACATTGTGCTATAGGCTGCGCAGTAGGTCGCGCCATGCGTTGCGCCAGGCAGCCAGCAGCCGCAAGCGATCAAATCTTCTGTTGCCCCCAGTGGGCGTTCAATTGCGCCATAGGTTGTGCCATGGGTAGCGCCACAGGTTGCGCCAGGCAATCCGCAATCGATCATATCGTGCGTTGCCCCAGTGGGTGTACCATTGCGCCGTAGGCTCGCGCCAGGCACCCCGCAATCTACCAACTCGTCCGTTGCCTCAGTTGGTGCGCTTTCGCACATTCACCCCGCGAAGAGACCCTACACAGCATTTGCCAAAGGTTGCGGCATAGGTTGCTCCATGCAGCGCGCAATCGACCAAATCGTTTGTTTCTTGAGCGGGTGAAATTGTTCATTACCCCGGCGGGTGTGCGACCGAGGTTGCGCCATAGGTTGCCCGCGGGCGTACAAATCGTCTGTTGCCAAAGAAGCTGTGCCATAGGTTGCGCCATGCACCCCACTACCGATCATATAGTCCTCTGCTTCAGCGGGTGTCGCAAGCGTGCGCGGGAGAGCAGACAAACGTAGTACGAGGCCGTTTCGACGATGGGAGCGCCGAGCCGCGGACTGAATGCTTGCGGTCGAGAACTTCTGGACAGTGTGTCGCTCCACCGCTTCGGGCCCACAGCGCTTCGGCGCGACGCGCTATAATGTGCCGAGCCTTTCCCGAGCCTCCCGCCCCGCGCAGCGGGACGACCCGCCATCCGCCCGCAGGGCACAGCGTGTCGCCAGGGCCGCCGCCGCGACGCTCTGCGCAAAGGTCCCCGACCATGGAGAAGGGTGTGTCCTGCAAGGTTCGGGGGGGGGATTCTGAGGCGACCCCGCTGCCGTCTCGGGGGCCTCCCCCCCCCGCCCCCGTGGATGCGCGCCGCCGGCCGTAGGTCGAGCGTGTCCCTCTACAGGAGGAAAATTCAAAAACAGTTCAAAGATAGTCAGGGGACGATTTTCCTCCTACTTTTGACCATGTGTGCGTATTTGTTAGTTACGTTTTTTCACCAGACAGCTTGCTGAACGGGGTGCTGTTGTGATAGAAGCTAACTCCGGCCGATGGAATTCAAAGCAGAGACGTCCTCAAAAAAATTTGGTGGTCCGGGCCGTTTCGCCTGAGACATCCTCGCAACTCTCGTTTCTGAGTTGTCCGGGATTGGGCGTTTCGCGTGAGACATCCTCCAAGCTCTGAGTTCCCAGATGCCGCGCAAGAGGTGGTCCAGCCCATTTCGCCGGAGACATCCTCGCAACTCTGAGCTCACAGATGCCGCGCGAGAGGTGGTCTGGCCCATTTCGTTTGAGACATCTTTCAAACTCTGAGCTCTGAGATGCCTTGCGCGAGGTGGTCCGGCGCGTTTCGCCTGAGGCATCCTCGCAACTCTGCGCTCTCTGATGCCGCGCGAGAGACATTCTCCAAACTCTGAGCCCCGAGATGCCGCGCGAGAGGTGGTCCGGCCTGTTTCACTTGAGACATCCTCGCTTTTTTGCATTCCGAGATGCCGCGCGAGAGGTTGTCCGGCCCGTTTCGCTTGAGACATTCTCCAACTTCTGAGCCCCGAGATGCCGCCCAAGAGGTGGTCTGGCTTGTTTCACTTGAGACATCCTCGCACTTCTACATTCCGAGATGCCGCGCGAGAGGTGGTTCGGCCCGTTTCGTCTGAGACGTCTTAGAAATTGCGAGCTCTGAGATGCCGCGCGCGAGGTGGTCTGGCCTGTTTCGCCTGAGACATCCTCAAAATTCTGAGCTCTGAGCTGCCGCGCAAAGAGGTGGTCCAGCCCATTTCGCCTGAGACATCCTCGCAACTCCGCGCTCTCTGATGCCGCGCGAGAGGTGGTCCGGCCCGTTTCGCTTGAGACATTTTCCAAACTCTGAGCCCCGAGATGCCGCCCAAGAGGTATCAAGAGGTGGTCCGGCCTGGTTCACTTGAGACATCCTCGCATTTCTGCATTCCGAGATGCCGCGCGAGAGATGGTCTGGCCCTGTCGTCTGAGACGTCCTCGAAACTGTGAGCTCTGAGATGCCGCGCGCGAGGTGGTCTGGCCTGTTTCGCCTGAGACATCCTCGAAACTCTGAGCTCTAAGCTGCCGCGCAAGAGGTGGTCCAGCCCATTTCGCCTGAGACATCCTCGAAACTCTGAGCTCGCAGATGCCGCGCGAGAGGTGGTCCGGCCCGTTTCGCCTGAGACATCCTCGCAACTCTGAGCTCTGAGATGCCGTGCGCGAGGTGGTCCAGCCCGTTTTGCCTGAGACATCCTCGCAACTCTGAGCTCTGAGATGCCGTGCGCAAGGTGGTCCTGCCAGTTTCGCACAAGACATTCTCGCAATTCTGAGCTCCGAGATGCCGCGCAAGAGAAGGTCCAGCCTGGGGGCCCAGAAGACTTCATGTTACATAATATCCCCCCTGAGACCCTGGGAGCCCCAGGAGGCCCCAAAGATCTTCAGGAGGCCGCAGGACGCCCAGGACCAGGCCCCAGGGGTTCCCAGGAGATTCCCAGGAGGCTCCCAGGAGGCCCCAGGAGGCCCCCCATCAGAACGTGTCAAGTTAATACTGATTTTTCCTGCTCTTGTGCCCCCCCCCCCCCCCGGGCCCAGACGGCCAAATGTTAGATATCCCCCCCTGGGAGCCCCAAGAGGCTTCAGGAAGCGCTCCAGGTGCGGTCTAGGAGGCCACAGGAGGCCCAGGAGGAAGCCCCAGGAGGTCCCCAGAAGGCCCCAGGAGGCCCCATGAGGCCCCCGCAACTCGGAGCTCTGAGACGCCGCGCTCGAGGTGGTCCCGCCCGTTTCGCCTGAGACTTCCTCGCAGCACGTTTCGCCCGAGACATCGTTGCAACTCAGGGGTCCGAGATGCCGCTCGCGAGGTGGTCCATGCCAGCCCGCACTGGACGGGCACGCAATCGACCTTGGAAACCGCAGTGGGTTTAAAAACCTTGTTTGGGGATACTGCACTCCGGCTATAATCTTTCCTCCACAGCCCGCCAGTGGGAGGCCACGCCCGACCTCGCGCCAGCCGTGTCTGGGGCCTTACTCTGTGGACAGAGCCCCGCCCGGCCCCGCTGCCGCGGCCGGGCGGCGAGGCGCGCGCCAGGCCGCCGCCAGCCGTGCGCCCCGGGCACGGCTGCAGGGCGACGAGACCTGTGCATATCCTCTGTTGCTCCTCCTCCTCCTCCTGCTCCTCCTCCTGCTCCTGCTCCTGCTCCTCCTCTTCCTCCTCCTCCCCCTCCTCCTCCTCCTCCCCCTCCTCCTCCTCCTCTTCCTCTTCCTCCCTGGCCAAGCCAGGAGGGCGTATACACAGCTCCTGGGCCCAGGATGGGCCTGGCCACGAGCAGTGGATCTGTATAGATCTCGTCGGCCTGAGCGAGCTCGGGCCCTCGCGCGCCGGCCGACGGCAGCGCACCGTACGCGGAGGCCACTGTAGTACGGCGCGGCCTCGAAAAAGCGCGGTGCTCTGTCTGAGGCTCGCGTGGCTGCGAGGGAGAGCGGCGCTGCCTGTGCATGCCGGGGACGTGTGGCTCCCTGCACGAGCAAGTGACAAGTGCGCAGGCGCGCGACCGCGGCATGGTCTGGGGGCGCCAGCCGACACGTCGAGCGAAGGAATATTGGGCAAAGACAACCATGTTCATCTGAAGAGTGTGCGTACATGTCCAGGGTAGTCGCGCAGTCGCGTTGCGTTGACCGTGCATGTCCAAGCTTACGACAGCGCGCCGCTGGAAAGGGGGGGAGGGGACGATTTCGGACACCCCCCCTCCCCCTTTGCGCCGGGCAAGGGCCAGGGAGCGGGAGTATGGAGTAGGGTGGGGAGTAGCGAGTACTGACAAATGAGTAGTGAGTATTGAAAAGCGGGTAGTGAGTGAGGTATAGGGTGTGGTGAGTAGTATGTGGTCAGTAGATGGTAGCGAGTATTGAGTAGTGACTAGTGGGTATTGAATAGTGAGTAGTGAGTAGTGGGTAGTGAAGAGTGAGTAGTGAGTACTGAGTCGTGGGTAGCGGGTAGTTGGTAGCAAGTACCGGGTAGTGAGTAGTGAGTAGTGCGTCCAGAGTTGTGAGTAGTAAGTAATGAGTAGTGGGTAGTGAGTACTTGAATGGTGAGTAGTGAATAGATAGCAAAATAGTGAATAGGGAGTAGCGTGCAGCTCGTAGTGAATATTGCAATGTAAATATTGAGTAATGAGTAGTGCGTAGCAAGTAATGAATACTGAGTAGTGAGTCGTGCGTGGTGAATAGTAAGTCGTGAGTAGCAAGTAGTTTGTCGTGAATTGTGAGTAAGGAGCAGGGCGTAGCGAGTAGTGAGCAGTGAGTAGTGGGTAGTGATTGACGAGGACTGAGCAATAAGTGGTGAGTAGGGAGTAGGGAGTACGCACTAGGGAGTAGGGAGTAGTGAGTCGTGAGTAGTGAGTAAGGGTAGTGAGTGGTGAGTGGTGGGCAGTGTACAGTGATTAGTGAGTAGTGGGTAGTGAGCGTTGAGTAGCAGGGAGTAGTGAGTAGGGAATAGTGAGTAGGGAGTCCCCAGTAGTGGCTTGTGAGTCGTATGTACTGAGGAGGGCGCAGTGGGCAGTGAGTAGTGAGAAGCGGGGTTTGAGTTGTGGGTAGTGACTGGTGAGTAGTGAGTAGCGAGAAGAGATCTGTGAGTTGTGGGTACTGAGTAGTGGGTAGGCGGCTGTGAGTACCGGGTAGTGAGTGGTGAGTGGGGAGTAGTCAGTTTGAGTAGTCAGTACAGAGTAGTGACTAGTGGGTAATGTATAATGAGTAGTGGGAGTATTGGTAGTGAGTGGTGAGTGGGGAGTAATTTGTAGTGAGTAGTCAGTACAGAATA